GAAAATAACGTGCAGATAACCGGCTATGAAAACAAAACATAAGTTTACAGTGAAAATAACGTGCAGATAACCGGCTATGAAAACAAAACATAAGTTTACAGTGAAAATAACGTCAGATAACCGACTATGAAAACTTAACATAAGTCTACAGTGAAAATGACGTGCAGATAACCGACTATGAAAACAAAACATAAGTTTACAGTGAAAATAACGTGCAGATAACCGGCTATGAAAACAAAACATAAGTTTACAGTGAAAATAACGTCAGATAACCGGCTATGAAAACTTAACATAAGTCTACAGTGAAAATGACGTGCAGATAACCGACTATGAAAACAAAACATAAGTTTACAGTGAAAATAACATGCAGATAACCGGCTATGAAAACAAAACATAAGTTTACAGTGAAAATAACGTGCAGATAACCGTTTATGAAAACAAAACATAAGTTTACAGTGAAAATAACGGGCAGATAACCGACTATGAAAACAAAACATAAGTTTACAGTGAAAATAACGTGCAGATAACCGACTATGAAAACAAAACATAAGTTTACAGTGAAAATAACGTGCAGATAACCGGCTATGAAAACAAAACATAAGTTTACAGTGAAAATAACGTGCAGATAACCGGCTATGAAAACAAAACATAAGTTTACAGTGAAAATAACGTGCAGATAACCGGCTATGAAAACAAAACATAAGTTTACAGTGAAAATAACGTGCAGATAACCGGCTATGAAAACAAAACATAATTTACAGTGAAAATAACTTGCAGATAACCGACTTTGAAAACAAAACATAAGTTTACAGTGAAAATAACGTGCAGATAACCGACTATGAAAACTAAACATAAGTTTACAGTGAAAATAACGTCAGATAACCGACTTTGAAAACTTAACATAAGTTTACAGTGAAAATGACGTGCAGATAACCGACTATGAAAACAAAACATAAGTTTACAGTGAAAATAACGTGCAGATAACCGGCTATGAAAACAAAACATAAGTTTACAGTGAAAATAACGTGCAGATAACCGGCTATGAAAACAAAACATAAGTTTACAGTGAAAATAACGTGCAGATAACCGATTCTTAAAACAAAGCATAAGTTTATTGTGAAAATAACGTGCAGATAAACGACTACGAAAACTGTCAATTAGACCAGTTTAAAGTGAATCAAATATTTATAAAACAAAATTTTATACACAGAAGTTAAGTTTATAGTAAAAAAGTGCAAAATAATCGACGATATAAACATATCAAGTTAAAAGAAAATATAATCCGGGAATATAAAAACTACAAGTTTAGACTAAAGTTTCAAAACTACTCACATAGTGCTATGATGGATAGGCAGGTAGCAAGCATAACGGCAACAGCACGCAACTTTTTTTTGTTGACACCATCCATCCTAAGCAGCAAATTAATGTTAACTTCAGTTTTATCTTAATTAGTAAACAAACAGTCTTAATAAAATACATTCTGATATTCTCAAACACGCAACATATAATAATACTAATAATAATAATAATAATAATAATAATCATAATCATACTACTACTACTACAACTAATAATAATAATTATAATAAAAAAAATAATGATTATAATAATAATTAGTATTATTATTATTATAGTAATGATGATGATGACGATGTTGATGATGATAATGATGATGATGATGATATTAATAATAATAATAAGTATATCTTTATTAAGAAGGCAACACATGAAGATATACCACCGCAAAAATAAATAACTTTTCTTAATTTCAAATGTGGCCTTCTAAATAATGTATCAAAACACAAACAAATAACAACATCATCAAAACATTAACAACTATTTCATTTATCAATTAAGATTTGATCCTATAACAAACGTAATTTGTTTTGACAACATATTAAATATCATTCATACAACTTTCATTTACATATAATTTAACAAATAAGTATTATAACATTATTATTTGTATTATACAGATAAGAAATGTTTTATAAAAAGTAATATATAGTGTCATGACGTTTAATGTAGAGACTCCTTCTCTAGGTAGTTCTTGACCACTCTAGAATGAACTGATCGCCGTTCCAGCATACAACCTAACATGGTTGACTAAGATATCGTCTATGTATCGTTGACCTGTCAAAGTGCCTCTATTTAGCACAACCAGGTCGGTTTGTCAATCCCAGCTGATGCTTCCCCACACCATAACTTACCCACCTCCTAAGCGGTTATGCTCTGCATTGTTTGCAGCCTGAAACCCTATTCCTCGTCTTCTTCAACCTCTAGCGCACCTTTCTGTGAAGTCTAAGGTAAAACCTGGAGAACATGTCTTCAGTGTTGCATGGTCCACCGTGTATGCTCAATGGTCCATTCCAAACAGGCCTTGCGTTGTCGACTCGTCAAGGGGAAACGTATGCCTGCAGCCTTCTACGTACTGTCTGCGTAGATACACGGACCCCCGCAACACTAGCAAGGTCATGTCGGAGAGAAGTTTCTGACGAAAACCTTGCATGACGTGCCTGAACGACCAAAAGCCGATCCTGAGCTTGTGTTGTGACCCGTTGCCGACCTCCAGCATGACTCCTGGCTGGTATACCATGTAGCAGGTATCTCTCACATGCTCTGGTGATGACAGTGTGGTGTACACCAAGCGGGGCAGTGGGCACCAACCTGGCGGAAGGTGGCCCCTTGCTGCACCATCCCTAAAGCCCTCCATAGTCTTCTTCTCTCAAATACCGCCTAATGTTAGCATTTGCCATATCAAAGTGACAGATGTAAGAAATGTAAGCCACTGAATGACAATAAGCCGGTAATATCGCCGTATAACAAAAGACATGTGATTATACACCCCATCAAAAAAATATATATCGGGGTGCATGCTTCCCATGCTATCTACACGAGTTGTAACAGATTAGTCAAAACGGATTCATGTCAAGGGACTATTTCAAAACATTGGTGAATCAGAATTTTGAAAAAAATTGGAAAGAAATCTGTTTTATACTTGTGATAATATAAAAATTAACTTATGGTGCTAAGCAAAAGTTGAGTAGTATATGTGGTCAATCACATTATGATTTACAACGTTCATAACTATAAAGAGTTTACAAGTATAACAATTACACGCATAATTTTTCATAACTTACAGAAACATTGCAAGTTTGCACCTCCTAGAATTACATTGTTATATGGGTGACAAAATGTGTTACAGCACAAATTTTAAGTATTCATGAATATTGTATGCTAAAATGAAAGCAAACTCCGCGCACCGGTTACGCTACGGCCAATCCTGTGAGGGGAGATCACTACGTAGGAGATTAAAATGAAAGTCGAATACATGTTAAAATGATCACCGACAGCATATTTCAAGAAACAAATACGTTGAAAATTACTTTCTAATGGAGCTTCTGTTGAGTTTAACAATCTTAAAATGTATTCAGAATATGTCGTGGATACCTAACATTCAGAATTATACAGGGAAGATCTGAAGCATGGTATAATTTCTTTTTTCTTGCCAACAATTTCAAGAGCACAGATTGTTCCTTAGAGTTCGATATATTTTTAGTTTTCAATAAGATTTATCGGTATGAATATATGAAATATCAAAACTTACCTTTAATCCAAGTAATACAAAAACAGTTACGTTTAACAATTCCTGTCTTGTTTTTTATTTAGAAAAAAACAAACAAAACTTGTCTTTCTCACATATATCCAGATAGTCAGTTTACCGAGCTTGGTATAACCTTGTGTCACATGGGAATTTAATTCGCGCGCTTTATGGTTGATAATGTATTAATTATAACGTTAGTTTATTACTATAGTAACTGTTATGTTTTATTCTTCATAAAGTACAATAGGCAATATTTTCTTTTATTGTTTTCCATTACGGTGACACAGAGGTGACATGTGTGTGTGTTTTTATTTATTACGTGCGCATGAGATACTATGTCGTGGCCACGAGTTACTAAGACGTGGCCACGAGATAATTAAGTGGTGTGCACGAGATACTATGTCGTGGCCACGATTTACTAAGTCGTTGCCACGAGTTAATTTAGTGGTGGGCACGAGATACAATTATTATAAATTATAAAGCATTATAAATCTTCTTGTTTTGATGAATTCAATAAAAGTTTGATAAAACAAGAAATATCATGCATGCATATTACATATGGTTTTCATATTGCCGTTTTTCATAGTTCACACAAAAACATTTTAGCTCGTCTGTGATGAAAGCTTGGCGTTTATTGTAATCAGTCCGTTTCCTGGAACTTACCATTACTTGTGTCAGATAACGACAGATGGCTGCGGCGCCTGTAGGTCTCGAACTTACGATCACTGTGTTGAGGTGCAGACACATTAAGCAACCAGTAGGCCATCGTTTCTTTTCTTCTTTTTAACTCTTTATGCAATTATACATGTATATTTGTTGTTATTTCAGTATGTGTTTTTATTTGTTTGTTATATAATGTAAATATGTTGATTATTTGTAAATAGGTTGTCCTTATGAGTCTACTACCTTCTTGAATTTACTTGAATAAAATATATATTGCAAGCAAAATCATTACGGACTAAACTAGTGCACGTAATGTATAAACTAGTGCACGTAATGAACCTGGCAAGATTTATCATCTATTTATCAATAGGACTTTAAATACAATGTATATGTATTTTCTTTTATTGTTCTTTGATGTGAGTATTTTCTAGAATTTCCATGAAGAGAAATTTGACATATAACTGTAAATCAATAAGAAACACAAATGCTGAGATAAGTTCTTTCGACTTCTAACATTGTCATTATGCTCATTTTTGTGCATTGTCAAGTTCAGCTGAACTGACGATATATTTCAAAAGCTGGACTGTTTAAATGGTGTTTGACAAACAGTTGACATTGGAATATGTTTAGCATGATATTGACATTACGCTACAAATTATAAGAAAACACAAATACTGATATAAGTTATTTTAATGTACGTAGTAATCCGAGTAAGGCTCACTGGTTTAAGTTGCAGGTACTTCAACCGCTAGATCACCCCTCCTCTTAGTTGTTATAAGATTAAATTAAGTATTACAAATACATTGACGTTATTCTTTTTTTTTTAAACATTTATAGTTTAAGTAGGACTTCTAACATTTAACTTCTAGTTTGTAAATAATGATAATGAACAGGAACACATTCCATGTATTGATAAAAACAATACAATAAAAAAGAGAATAAAAAATCCCTGTAGATCGCCTAAAACGGCGAAACTTAAAAGTTTGCAGGTTCAGTTTGAGTAAGCCTGCTCATGGACGGTAATGAAACATAATTCAGCGAAAACATTATTACAAATACATATGAAACACATCATGTTTTGTCAACATAATCTAAATAATTTTATTCTAGTAACATTTATATGACACCTTATTTAAAATTATCTTGTTTGTTTTTTAATTTACAAATCCATAGATACGTCCTCATTTAGAATAACAAGATTTGTATATGATGAATTAAAGCATCATGCACCCAGATTCATGACATGCTTACTATTCTTATTATTAAATGCCTTTAAAAGTAAAGTATATGAAGTGAACAAAGAAGGTAATTTATAATTACGGTTAAAATGTAATACACAATGATAGTCTGCATTTAGGACCGCCCCCCAAAAAATATTGCAGCAAAAAAAATCATTTGAATTGATGAGCAGAAGGAAGAAAACAGATGTCATATATTAAATATCCGTTTTAATATGTTCAATGTTTGTCTATCGATGCTTTCAACCAATGAATATATACATTTTGATTTAGCTACTATTACATCACCTGAGGTCTTTTTAAAATCACACAAAAACTATCACAATTAAGATGCCGGAAAATCATCAAAGTTAAAACGTTTTAAAATATAATTACATCGTTCATTAACAACCTGTATAAATTCTTTTTTCATTTTCTTTTTCCAAGTATTAATGTGTTCTGATGAATTCGAACGTGTCGTGCATATTGCACAGTTATTTTGATTCCCAGCCATTGTTATATTGTAAATATATGATTCGGCTTGCCGTGTAAAATCTTCTCCTATAAAGTCATACATTTTTCTGGACATTGTCAATGGATCTTTTGCTATGTCTTCGTACAGAACGTCTAATATTCTATCCGTATATTTTATTTTAAGACTTTCTAATTTTAACACATCATTTTCTAATCTTTTACAGAAATTGTTTGTACACCCTTGCCAACCGCCTCGTTGTTGTTTGCACATTCCAAAATGAGATTGTGAAAACAGTGTTGCACGCGGATCTCGAACTAAATGCACGATTTTTAAAGTTGGCAACTCTTGTAACAAGTGTTCAACATCATTGGCAGCGATTCTGATTGTTTTAACAATACGTACAGGAGAATCTTTACATATTTCTTCTAGCTGCTTTGTACACACTTTAACTGCACTCTCCCTACTTTTTGTTTTATTGTATACTTTCTTAAGACAAGGTTGCATTGCACGTGTCTTTATACCTTTGTCTGAAAATAAGTTCAAGTAAATAATTTTATAATATTACATCAATGTTTTGAATTAATACTTTAACAGAAATCGCTCCTTGTGGCTTATGATAAAGTAAATGTACGTAGCCATGTTGGGTCTTTGTCATTCTTAATGACCTTTGTAGAATGAATACATATTTTTACATATCAAACCGAGTTTGAACATAGGTTTAATAAAAAACAACAACAACAACAACTACAAAAACGACAACAAAAAACAACAAACTATCTATTATAATTATCATTTCATTTGCAATCACATTCACTTGTAAGTTTGTAACATATATGCACGTAAGAGATGGAAGTCATTAAATCATATCTGAACTTTAAATAAAGATAAGACACAACATTTAGCATTCTATTTCGTACAGTGGAAGATAAATGTATGAAAAAAGTGTTTTGCTTGAATGTATATGTTTGGTGTTAACGTAGCATGTTGGTTACTTACACAGTAAGTAACCATTTTATGTTCCATAAAAAGGGGCATAACCATTGTCTGTATTATGTCCAGTTTCATGGGAAGTCATATTCAACCAAACTAGATTAATATGAATTTTATTTAGAACTTTAATTAATCAAGATTTGCATTTATTTTATATAAAAATATATTTTACTACAAATGTTTAAAATGTTAAAAACCAAACGAATACATACTAAGAAAACTATCATATACTCCGATGACCGGAAGTCGTGATATGTTACAGGTGAACCAATTGTATAACCCATCTACAGCTTCCTGTGTCAACGAATATGGCGGTTTCCTGAAACGAAACAATGTTTCAAATTGGAATTAATTAAGCAATATATTTAAATGGTATAAGACAATATGTGTAATCTTGACCCGGCTGACACCGGAAGTAATCAGCCTTTGTCAGACATGCGCGCGCATCCATGAGTCAGGCCAGGCTCTGTAATGATTCAAATCTGGGAAGGTCTGAAGCTAATGTTTGCTAGAACTTGTTTCCAAACCCATCTGCTTTTTGTTATAGACTCATCATTTGTATAATATCTGACATGTTTTTGATGCAATATAATATGTTTAAACTAAACTAAAAAACTGTTTCCAATTCAAATGGGTAAACCCATTTCTTGAATTTAACAGGTTATATAGAATTTAACAATATGTTTATATTTAAATTAATCTTTCTGGATGATATGTTTTAATATCAAATCTTGCTTACATGACTTATAATTAATACTTTTTTATCAAAGCTGTAAAATCATTTTTATAACATTTAGCACACATTCAAAGTAGCATGTCTGTTATATCATCTTCAAGTCTCGAGCCTGAACTATTCTCATATACTGTTAAATATTAATTTGTATATAATATATATAATACATTTTTATTTCATTTTTATTGTGTTTTTTTTTTCTTCTTTTTTTATAGTTGTACTGTTTGTTTTTGCTGTTTTTTTAGTAATGAGTATAAAACAGCTTCTGTGTGTAATTTAAAAACTGAATAAGAAGCTAAGACGTTATGTTAACTTTGATTTTGCAAGGCCATAAGTGAAATAAGATCGAAAACGTCATAGAGTATCACAGTTTACAAGGTCTGCTACGTTTATACTCAAATTTCGTATCGACATCAAGTACCAGGAGTTCGGACACAAGACATGATAAATTATTTATCTAGATGCGTCATTCTCACACGGACGCATTGTAATCTATTCATTATTAAATCTTATAACTAAATCCAGTACTATATTTGTGCTTATTTATAGCTTGAGGGCGGTCCCTTTGATGTTTACTTATTGAATCGCACGGGGAATTTATCAATTGATATAAGATAAACCTCTTTCAAATATAACCATGAAATGTTAGATTATACTACAAAACTTTTAAGCTTTTACTGTTTTATTTTGATGAAATACCATCCTGTAAAATGTGTTTAATTCTGCTCTAAAATATGTAGCCTTGTAAAGTAAGGTGTTCTTTTCAGGTTTTGCCAAAAAAACAATAAAACAGAACAAATAAAATGTACAATTGCAATTTTCTCTTACGTTGTTTTTAATCACCTGTTATGCCCGGTTACATTGAAAACATAACAAATGAAATGTACATTTTAAATATTTAAAGCTGCTTTCAATTTTCCTAAAGATCACTATATAATATTTAGATAAATCGTTTCATATAATTTTCAAATCAAAAGATGAAATTTGTCGTCGATAAAATACATAAACAATAAGGATACCCCTCGATAGCTTTAACCTACAAGTCTGCTCTCTATATGCAAATGAGTAAAGCGACCGATTCGTTTCACGATCTTCTATTTTTAGAAACACACGTCACTGACGTGCTATAAATAGCTCCTAGGACAACAAAAATAAATCTGAATGCCGCTTTAATTACCTTTTGGTCCCGTTTATATATGAAATAGAATATGTGGATGAATTTCGAGATGCAATGGCTCTAAATGGTTCATATACGTAAAATGCCTCTGAACTTTGTTGCAGAATATCTCCTGTAAGGCTCGAACCTGATCGCATGTACGTTAGAACCAGTACCATTTTAGGCAACTGTGAGGTTGAGTGGAGCTTCTCATCTAGAATAGAAAAATTATGTATTCATTAGAAGTAGAGGGAAGTATATAGTTTTTTTCTCTTTTCTGAAGACCTTTAATTGTGTGTATAAGCCGAATTTAGAAGATCCGGCAAGATACGTGTGAAAATGCGGAAAAATATCTTTCACTGCAGTGAAAAATGAAAAAAAAAAAAAAAATACAATGAAAATTCGGAAAAATGAAAATCATCAACATTTCTCAATAGTTCATTAATTTTATAAGTATATAATAAAATGACTTACAGAATTCATTTGACGATGACGATAATTTATTATTATAGGTTCAATGAATCTAACAATCTTTATTAAATTTAAAACATAAATTATTGATGTTTCATCATCGATTATAGTTTACAATTAAATGCAGTATATAGAAAAGATACACTTCCATACGAAAGACAAAAAAATGAATTGCACAGAAGCAGGAAATAGTTCGGCACCTAATGATAAAATCTATACATATACTATGAATATTGCATCCTCATTAGCAAAAGCCCTTCAAATATATTGCAAGTGGTCTATTTCGATAAAGGCTTAAATGAGTTGGTGATTATACCATTATAAGTACTATGTATCATTTGTGGATAGCGACCTCTTAAAGAAAAGCAAATGCTTTACCCATTACTGCATGTGCATTTTGTGAAAAATTGGTTGTTTTCTTTGAAAAGCCTCCTGTTACAAGTTCGAATTGCTATGAAACTATAAAAATACTTCAATACTGTTCAAACTTGGCACAAATGTTGACCTGACCATAGCCATTGTAACGGCATACTCAATCTTAAGTTTCCTGTTACCATGGCAACGAGGGGGACACCTTCAAATTGCCAAAAATCACTATTTTGAGTTTTCCCCCCATCAAAACTGAATTCAAATTGCTGCAACTTCTCAATCGATTTAGATAGAGTCAAAAGCTTTTGGTTCCATTTTACCTTAAGGTCGATCTGAGGCCATTTTTAGCCTCTCACAATTACAAAATTTTCTTGGAGATGAGGGGATCTGCTGCCCCCTTCAAACCCCCAAGAAGAAGAGGGCACATACCCCCTTTTGACACACCCTTGATGTACCTATTTGACAGGGGATGGCGCCGAAAAAGTAACAATATAACTCAAACGAAAACAAGTGTTTGGGGTCTAAAAATGGCAGTTTTTCACTATTTGAGGCCTCGAAAAGAAGAATGTGTAAAGGCGTGAAAAGACGTCTATATGAAGTTATGGGTGAAATGATTTTGATATTTTATCTAGGAGTATCCAACTTCGTTAATCATATTATTATATAGAAAGTGATAGACTTATTTCGCATGAATGTCCATGCCATCTCGACTTCTTGTCACGTATTGCCATAGCAAATTTTCAATGCTTTGTCAGGGGCTCTTCCTAGGGTTTTAATACAAATAAAAGTTCTTCTCGTATAAAATTTTTTAATGGATTTGACCCGCTATGAACAGTCCATGCAATGTTAGTGAGTAACCTACCAACAGTAAAGAGCCCAGTCAGACTGCACAGATGCCGGCTAGCCAAGCTATATGCTGGTGGCAAAAGCAAATCACTTATGTTTCAAGCAGATTTAGGGTAAAATTCAAAGACGTTTGTTTACCTGTCCTTGTCAACTGTTCGGTTCTGTTCATTCTGATAGATACCATCGGAATTTTCGATATATTCAACACATTTTGTACTTCATCTGAAAAAAAGAGAAGATATTTTTTTTTAAATGCGCGAATAACATGTTATGTATAAACTCATTCAAATTTTGCTAAACAAGAACTGACTGCCAATTTATGTACATGTTAAAATCATTATTTCACATTTTGCCGTCACGATTACAAGTGTAAAACATTAAACGCTTAAGATGTTTCTATTATTAGTATCATATTCTGAAATCATTCTCTAATACGGGTCAAGCCACAGGTGAACGTCGCGAACGAAACGAATATTCCTTGCTACATATAATCAGCGAAGGTGCCAGTGTTGTTTTCTTAAAGAGTATTTATTTATCTAAGATTTGACACCAAGATTGTTAAGATTGGTGAAAATTTGATGAATATATGCGCTGAAAATCGAGATGCTAGTGATTTTTCTATACAAAATGAAAGTAGTTTAAATACCTTTTAATTTTTAGAGTCATAATTTTTTTTCATAAAATTTATTTTTGTCAATACTTATGATGTTTGGATGATGTTTAAGGGTTTTGGGTTGTAGAGGGGGAACGGGTGTATAGTGTAAGTCATGGCCACGCGACATTCACCTGTGGGTCGAGCAAAATTGGTCCTTTCTTAAAAAAAACTTCCAGTTTTTATTGACACTATACTTTCATATCATGACAACCTATATTGTAAATTCTCTATTGTGCTTTTCAATTGGCTGAATGTTTATGTCTTTACACTTTAAGTGACAAAAACTTTAATCTAAATCTAATGAAAAAGAAATAAAGAAGAATTCAAAAGATGTATTGTATAAATCTGTATGGAAGAAAATGCAATAAATATAGTATCAAAATCTAGATTTATGATAAAATATACTTATAAAAAACAGTACAATAAAACAAAAGCTTGGTTCGTAATAGCAATTAATTTTAAGGCTCTTATTTTCACTGTGTTCAATCACTGAAATACATTTTGTATTCAATATACATTTATCCCGATTTAATGCATTTTTTTTGCAGAAATTGTCAATATGTTAATATGCTTATTTAAAGGTTGAAATATATTTGTGTTAGAAATCCCTATGACATTTATCAAATCACACGGCAATAATGTCCTTATCTATCAAATTGTATAAGTTTTACAATATTTTCATTAAATTTGATGGTTATATTTTTTGTTGATGTTATTTTTTGTTTATGTTGTTGTTGCTGCTGCTATAAAATTTTAGAAATTAACATTTTAAATCAAGTATACACCAAAACTGTTACAACAAATATATGCAGTAACAGTGCGGGGGTAAAAAACTGATTATACCATCGTATTATAAATATTGCCATAGAGGATGCGCATGCTCCGTCCACAACAATTTCCTATTGTAAATCATTATGTCATGAGCTCGACACCCCGCTAGACCAACAAAAATTAGTACTCGTCTTCCCTATGAGACTTGTTGCCAAAGATCCATGTATGAATGATTCGTAAGAGCGTTTTATGGCCTACTCGTATTTATTTTGAATTTTAAAAAAAATCCCTTGAATTTGAAAAATCAATTTATTTTGGAAAATCGCTTTGTCTTTAAATATCCTCTAATATCACAAAATAAGAAACATAATTTAGTAATGTGAATTCACGCTGGCAACCGTAAATAAAACAATATTATTAAAACCAATTGTGAGTGATGACAATGAGCCAAATGTAGGTGTTATTGGCTAGATCTCAAATATTACAGTAAACTCCGCTTATAACGATATTCAGGAGACCGCTGGATCTATATCGTCATATCCGGAGGGCGTTATATCCGAGAAGCAACCAATTTGAAAGCAAGAGTCGTGACCTCAGTAACAGCACCGTTACAAGCGATTTATCGTAATAAGCGGTATATCGTTAAAAGCGGTATATCGTTATAAGCGACATCGTTATAAGTGAAGTATACTGTAGTTTGACAACGCCTTCAACGAACAAAAGTAATCTCAGATCTAAGTAATTTTTCAAGAAACGCATCATAAATTAAACACTGAAGTAACATATCATCAATTTCTCAGGTTTCGAAAGAACCACCAGCGAAATTATTCGAATACATTTACATGTTATGTTGTTGTTTTTTAAAGATAGACATGTACATTGACTATATCCTATTTATTTATGACAAGTGATATTAATGAAGGAAAACTCCTGACATTAAAAATTTTGTTCTTTTTTGTCGTTGACAGAACACAAATCGATGAGGGACATATCTTCATAAAATGACTTTCTATAAACATGTGAGTTTGCATTAAATTGCCAGAATCTATTTGTTTTCAAATTGAATCCATTACAAACAAAACATATATATATTTTGTACATTAAATTCGGATTAAGTTGATAGTTTTCTATCTTTAATTTGACTCCAATGTATGTTTTACATATATAGAGAATGTGATGCAAATTGAGATGATAATATCGAGAGTTGCAATTAGAGGGGGTTGTTACACGTTAATTAATGCTGTATCTTTGAAGAAAATTTGTCAGTACCGACTTTGCTCTTTCCTAATGACTATTAATTGTTGATTTTATATTTTATGATGACGATGATCATCTTCAAAATGTTGACCAATAGCATTTCTGTATCTTCATCTATCTTATTTATCTATCTATCTAGAAAAACGAATCGTCTTCACGGATACACTTTATGGTACAAAAGATCACGGACAACTGTATTCTAAAATGGACTCGAAACAATAAAAAATAATAACTGATATTTCTATGGCACCACTGCAATAGCGTATGCGTATTTACAAGGGAAATGCTTTTATACAAATGGAACTCGGTGTTGTACTATTGATTTCAGATATCTTATTTCTTGGCACTTCTTCGGTGTAACTCTAACAGCCACTGAACCTTTTACAATAACAAAGATCAGGTAATTGGATCATACATAAATATATCCTAATGAAAACGTTTCCATGGAAACAAAAGTGTTTTTTTTTAGATTATTAATGTAACCTCTTGAATGATTAAAACTTATTGTATTTATAATTTCTAAAACTGTCAATAAAAGATAATAGTTGAGGCAATATTGTTTATATACAAAAGGTCCACGGTAATTAACGGAAATATCTTTATAATCATTTATTAAAGGAACTCCACTGAGGTAAAAAAAAAAATCATAAGAAATATTCAATTTGAAATTCTTACATAGATCAAGTGAAACATTTGAAAAGGCTTATACAGAAATATGTTCGGAATTAAATTAAAACCGTCGTGTTTTTTTGTGTGTGAAATTTATAGCCAAATTTGAGAAAAGTTTTGCAACGCTTAACGCTTTAGGTTTTAGGTCATTTTGGACATTAACAATGAAGGTTATGGAATAACGGAGTTAGAGAATGGTATGAACATTTACACGTTAGTTATTGGTCCAAACCTGCATCCAATGGTATACAAATCTCGGACAAATATTTCTAGTCCGTTCATGCCACAAGCTCTCATTGGAGTCCCTTTAAAATTAGAGAATTTTGTTGAAATAGTTGATGACTGATCCAGAAATAACACTGACATTAGTTGAGATGAAAATTATAATGTATTCTTATTGTAATTGAAACAAAAATCAAATATTTCTTACAATGTCATATACATGTATTACCTTTCACAGCATGCATAGAATTTTCAAGTATTATTATTATATATCAGTAGATATGAAAGACTGTAATGAAAGCTTTTAAATATCAACAACAACAACAGCAACAACAACAACAATTCTAGTAACATTCATAACACAGCCATAAAAATGCTTGACATGTCTCGAGAGACATGTAAATGTAATTAAATCCACGACTTCATGCAACGGTCCAACCCTCAAAACTTATAAGGTCAATGGAATAAGTCTTCACAAAGAATTAATTTAGTTTTAATTAATTTAAATGAACAATTTGTTTACTTTTTACATCCAGCACTTATTAAGTTAAGTGTACCATATGAAGAAATGAACGGGAGCACTTATAAACTGATGCCAAAAACTGTTAAATGTATTGTTAATGATAAGAGATATAAACATTTAGTTAAAGCGGCATGTATTGTAAATTGTTTTATCGTAAGGATAAGACAAACTTAAAAAAAATACGTGAATTTATGACAGATATCAGACAGGCTTATGTCAAATAACCAACGATAAAATAAAAAGCGATTTTATTGCAGGTAAAAACGGCAAATAAACGACAATATGAAGTAAGTGCGAATAGCAAATAGGTAAATAACCGGCAATACATGTATAAAGTAAGGGCAAAAAGCAAATGAAAAATAACCGACGATATAAAGTAAGTGCAAATTGCAAATACGCAAATAACCGACAATATAAAGTAAGTGCAAATTGCAAATAGGCAAATAACCGACAATATAAAGTAAGTGCAAATTGCAAATAGGCAAGTAACCGACAATATAAAGTAAGTGCAAATTGCAAATAGTCTAGTAACCGACAATATAAATTAATTGCAAATAGGCAAATAGCCGACAATAAGAAGTAATTGCACTTGCAAATAGGCAAATAGCCAGCAATATGAAGTTTAAGTGCAAATAGCAAATGAAAAATAACCGACAATATTAAGTTAGTGCAAATAGCAAATAGGCAAATAGCCGGCAATATGAATTAAGTGCAAATTACAAATATGCAAAATAGCCGATAATATGAAGTAAGTGCAAAAAGAATTGAGGCAAAAAGCCGACGATATGAAGTAAGGGCAAAGTGCAAATGAAAAATAACAGGCGATATTAAGTAAGTGCAAATTGCAAATAGCCGGCAATATGAAGTAAGTGCAAATAGCAAATATACAAATAGTCGGAAATAAGAAGTAAATGCAAATAGCATTTAGGCAAATAGCCGACAATATGAAGAAAGTGGGAAAAGCAAAAAACGTATGTATATAGGATAAATTTACAGCGATTTATAATGTAATAATAACCTACAATATAAAAGAAAAAAGCGTTCAAAATAAAAACAAATTGCAAATAAACGGCGAGAAAGATACTACAAATTATATAAATAAGACAAATAATTATAATATA